TGCTGTGTGGTCGGTTGTAATGTTAGATTGCACTACCGGCAAGGGAATAAGCTTGAAAATGGGCTCTCTTTTCATTGTTTCCTCACCTGGAAGCAACATGAGGGAGCTTATGTGTTGGATGTTACCAAAAGAAGGCGACTAGCCTGGATAGCAGCTGTGAGATGAACTGATATTCAGTTCTCTGCCATCCACAGATATCTGTTGGTGTGCTTCAGTATTTTCATTCTGCTAAGTTCTAAATAAGTTCATATTACTCTTTTTATTTTCAATGCGCTCTGAGGTCATAGCAAATTAGAACAAACATGTAGAACTACCTTTATTTATAAAGTTGCTAATTATTTGGCATTATTGCAGCAAACCAGCCGATGAAATGAATGAAACAAATCCTGACTGGGTTCCAACACTACACATGGGGCACTACGAAATCTTTGTTTCAAACTACATGCTACATAACACCATGCCAATCAGATTACTTCTTCCATGTGAGGGTGAAAAGGTGACCCTCCTGGATAAGATGGCAAAGGTTTGCTGCGTTTTGGTGAACATGTGCCCCAGTGTGTTAGTAAAACCAGGGGAAAATGCTCTTGTTAAATACTCTTAAAAGTCTTGTGCTGTATATGCAGTGATACATTTTCAAAAGAGACAGTAAATTACAGAATGCTAGTAGTGGGGGATATTATATAAATGCTGTCATCATTTTATGTAAATGTAAACTATACATGACATTGATTCCACATTGTAACTGATGTGATGTTCTATAAAGTGGTTTTAATTAAAAATAGGTAAACATTTGTTTGTTTCTTTATTCAACTTTTGAACAGTGGTAATTAGTAAGTACACAATCAGTAAATGCAAATTATTTACAGGCCCTCCTAAATTAAAACATTATGGGTTATTCAGAGCAGAACTATGCTTGGAAAAATATTTTCCCATCAGTTGAGACAACTCCTCCACAGTAGCAGGTGGAATTTTTCTGTTTTGAGGACGGCTTCTTTTACCTGTCACTACAGATGGTCTGTTTATGTTTTGATTGAGAGCCTTTTTTTGGGGGCAGCTGAAGAGGAGAAGTCTATCTTATGGCCAACCTCTGGCTGTATCTTGGTCATATTACCCAGCAAAACCCAGTATGCAGGTTCATCTGTAACAGTCCTTGTGCCACAGATCCTCACTGTTGCTTCTACTTTAAACAGAAGAGCAGGGACATGGGTGCAGGTCTCCGCGACTCCGGCCATACAGCTGCAGTGGGCGGCTTCAACCTTCCTGAGATGCTCACAATGACCCATGGCTGCAATGCTGGTTGATTCAGTCTTTGAGAGTGCAGTACCTGAAACACACACAGGCAAAGTTCAAGACACTAACTTTAATAAGCCAAGGCCGACACAAATGTGTTGTGTCTATGTTCAAATACATTAATCAGAAATGTAACAAATAAAGTGTTTTTATGTATCCATCTATAGAAAGCTGCATGTTATATTTTAAATCTGCATGTTTCTTTTTAGAAACCTATCAGCAAAAAACTTAAGTATGTAATGCAAGGATGTAATCACTTTCAAGAGTGAGAAAGCATAAAGTTCGACTTTAAGTGACAATTGTGGACACCTAATATAAGGAGATTCTGCAGGTCATGCAGGCATATTTCTTAAGTCTAGATTTTGTGAAGGAAAGGCTTTTTAATTACAGCATTAGAACCAAGTCATGCTTAGACAATAGAAACTGAAAGTTGTTATGGCAGAGAGGGAAAACGAACCTTAAGTGAGTGTGAGGGTGTGGATCAGCTGAGGCAGAGTGTATATAAAGTCTGAGCCCTTCAACTTAGCTGCTGCTGCTGCTGCTCGAGCATCATTTATGTTTCCACGTTTGAAGGCTTGAAGTGAAAACATCATCACAAGGTAGGAAGCTGATAAAGAACTGAAAAGTCATTTTTCCCCAGTGTGTGTGTTTTCTAATGGACTATTTTGAATTCTTTCAGACTACAACCAACATGGATATAACTATTAATATGCTGGGTGAGTCCCACATTCTGACCGTGAACCCAGAGGACACAGTTGGCTCTCTGAAAATAAAAATCCAGGAGAAACTGGAAGTTGACCCTCAGACACAGAAACTGGATTTTCTGAACGGTCATCCCAACGACGACACCAAACCCATCAGCTACTACGGCTTACAGCACGGCTCCCGGGTGTCCCTGCTGGTCACCGAGTCTCTTCCACATGCTCCTACCCAAGTGTTCCTCAGAAATGAAAAGGGACAGCTGAGCACCTACGACATCCAACCCGGCGAGACTGTGAGCAACTTCAAGAACAGAGTCGAGAAAAGAGAGGGGGTGCCAGCGAGCCAGCAGAGGCTCATTCATGAAGGCCGACAGATGCAGGATGGCAAACTGGAGGACTACAGCGTCAGAAACCACAGCACCATCTACATGATTTTGCGCCTGAGAGGAGGCTGAGGACACTTTAAAATGGTTCAGAAAACCCATGTATGTTATTTAATATTATAAGCTTGACTTATCTCATTTATCATATTTATTAGTGCTTTTATTTTGGAAAAACAAAAACATTCCCATAGACCGTACAATATGGGTTCATTAAACAGTTTGCAAATCTGTGTTTTCTTTTGGCACAACAGATAAGTAACTCATACAAATCAACACGTTGGTGATTCTGTCATGACAAATACATGTTAACTGTACTTATTACAAAGAATAAAGTTAGCAACAGGAGCCTACGTCCCTTCATATTTCCTCTGCCTGTGTCAGCTCAGGAAGGTGGGGCTGTCATTCTCAATGTTTATGAGAGACTCTCAGTCATATAAAGTAATAGTTTTTTATTAGATCTTACACTGTTAAGATATAAATTTCAAGTCGAGTATTTAAAATGTTACAGCAACACGTGGTAATGGTTTCAGTCAGCTTTAAATTTAATCACAAGCGCTTGTGTATGTGAAAATTAGTGACCAGATTAGGCACAGATTTACGGCAGTAAACGTAACAGTCTGTTGTATGATCTCAGTTTTTAGGCATTTACAAATATGCCAAAACTGTTTCCTGAAGATGTGTTTTCTCTAGAGACGTCTTGGTAGCATCATTTTCTCACAGATGCAAGGTAGGCATACCAAAATAAGGCGATCATGTTGGCAAACAGCACTCGGAACTGAAACCAGAAATGTACACAGAAACAGAAGGCGCGAAGAAATTAATTACATGTGGCGACAGAAAATAACTCATTGTCTGATGAAATGAAGTGAAATGTGTACCTGAACAGGGACAAAGTTGATGTTTATGAACTGGAAAGGGGTCCAAACTTTCCAGTTCATCTTCAAAGCGGTCCAATAACTTCTTCTCATCTTCTTTTCAAAATCAGTCCATCCTTTAGCCTAAGGACAGTTTAAAGTGGTTACAGTCATATTACATGCTTATATATAAAATCTTTATATCATGGACATGATAATAAATACTATGGTAAATGTCCAGGTTGAATCGGGTACTTTGCCAGGTTCTTGGTGTCAGATGAACATAAAAATTATTTCACTGTACTCAAATGGCCTCCACAATCACCAGATCTCAATCGAATAGAGCGCCTATGGGATGCAGTGGAATTGGAGACGTGCAACCAACAAATCTGCAGAATCTGTGCGATGCCATCATGTCACTACAGACAAAAATCTCTGAGGAATGTCTCCGGCACCTTCTGTGCCATAAAAAAAAATCAAGACAGTTCTAAAGACAAAAGTAGATCCAGCTCAATAGTAGCAAGGTGTCCCCAATAAATTGGCCAATGAGTGTACATCATAGTGCCAGTCCAATGTTAGGACATATGTATGGCATTAAAGCTTGTTAAGATACTGGCAATGGTGTGTATAAGTTATAGAAATCTCAAATGTGACATATACTTCGATTTTTTTTTTTTGCATAATAAATTGTTGTTCATTGAACCACAACAACTACGCTTAAACACCATTCCAGTGCAATGAATAAGCAAAACTGGACTCCTAAGTTTTGTGAGCTGTTTTGATAAATTAAGAAATAATTAAATGAGGTGAGGGCCTCTGCTGCCTCAGTTTTGACAGGACTTTTTTTTGCATTAGAGAGCAGGTGTCCCTCTATACTGAGCTAATTTGGAATCAATGGTGTCTGAGATGACCCACCTCCAGGATGTTCATTACAAAGTAGAAAAGGAGCAGAAAGCCCGGCGCAAAAATAAGCCGGTCCAGCAGCAGACGTTTGACTACACAAAACTGATCTGTGGTGGGAATCCATACTTCCATCAGCTGGTAAAACAAGTGGCTCACGGGTCCTGTAATAAGCAACCTGAAACACACAACAAGGGCAAATATGAATAGCAGAAGAACATCTAAATACACAGACAGCACATGCTAGGTCAAAGGTCAACTGTACTATACTGCATTATAACTGAGAACAATGTGTTCTTTGCGTCAGAACTGTGTTATCACAGACACCAATAACATTGGACAGTGTTTGATTAGTTTTATCAGAGTCTAACTGGAACAACATCCCATTCACAGACCTGCAGCCTTAAAACAAGTCAGTGCTCAGTCTGCTTTCTTTACTGGATCTCACCCATAAATGGCATAGCGTGCAGCTCCAGCTGCATCGATATTACTGACAGGAGCTCCCTTCTGGGCTTTTTTTCTCGCCTCCACAAACTGAGACAGAAGGTTTCCCAAAGCAGAGAGGATGCCACTGAAAATACAAAGGACACACACACACACAACTGTCAATAAGTATCAATAGTCCACTTGCAAAAGACTTAGTGGGGGAGGTTTTCAGGACAGATGCTGATTGGCTAAAAGCAGTGCTGTGACAAAATGAGTGTGCGTTCAATGCAAACAAAGTCTTAAAGGACCTGAAGACGAGCAGGAAACAAAACACTGATAAAAAAACACTTTTCTTAGTTACAGTGTAATAAACGTCCCAAGAAACCTGACTACAGTACAGTAGTTTGGCTGTCAATAAATGGGAGCTTCTAACTTGCAACACTGTCAAAGTGCAGAAACGCGACGTGTACTGACCTGGTTACAGATTTAGTCAGGATGGGGTATTTCTTCAGGAGGACCAGGTACTGCTGGAGTAACCTGAAATGTACGGAGGAGTCCCGCACGGGGCGGCTCTGCACGGGCATTGTCAGTTTTCTACCTGTGTGAATATTACTACCACTACCGCCTCTCTTCCTGTCGACGTCTTTGCGTCACTGGTGGCGCCATGCATTGACGTCTACATCCGAAACAGTTCGGAAACGAGCAAAATTCACCTTAATTTCACCATCCACCATTAAGCAATAGTTTTGAGTAAAATGCAGTTGAAATACGTAAAATAAAATATTTATTATATATTATTTAGTAAATAGTTAAGCACCCTTGGTATAAACTAAATATATATCAATCAAGTACATTTCATTCGACCAGATTTAATATTTTAAATTGCGTGTATGCTACATGGGAAATGTACATGTAATTAAATTAGTTAAGGTCTGTATTTTTTTTTCGGTGTATGCTGCATAAATGTTCCATAAACTTGAACAACATAAAATAAAAGAAAGAAAAAAAACAACCTTTTAACAGGAAGAAACCTTCACCATAACCAGGCTCATACAGGGACGGACATTAGCCGTGACTTGTTGGGCCCCGAGATTATTAGCAACTGATCATTAAATGCAGAGTGGTGAATAAATACACAGCAAGGGAAACTATATACTTTCTTCCTCCTATGATTATTATCATTAGAAAGAAAATTATTAAATTAATCTGCAATGTGACCTCTTTTGGTCAGCACTAGTTAGCATGGGCCCTCACAGCAAGGTGATTGAGCATGAATCAAGAAATTTAAAAAATGTTTCTTCTTAAAGTATTCAGTTTCCACAGCATATCTCAGTTTTCCAGTCTACAACCTTCACATGTGCATTACAGATTTATAGATCGGAGTAGACCTATAAATGTACAACATATATTATAAACATTTATATCATATAATTTTTGGTTATATTAGACACAGCTAACCTGTAACAAGAACATTACAATGACTCTGACTACTTTATGTTAAAGTTTAAAAGCAGTTTGTTTTTTTAGCCTAGGTTAAACCCAAAAGTGTACCGATCTAAGTATGAAAGCACAATGTTGATTTATAGTTGATGTATGCTACTTTATACTTCTACTTACACCCTATTTAGGAGAAAATAATTTTAGTTGGTCCCTCAGATTATTTTTCAATTTAATAGTTTACAAAACTATGAACTACTTTAAATTACTGTGAGAAAAAAAAAACTACCCTTATTCAACAGCAGACCCTAACAGAACTCAGTGTTACAGACGTCAGAGGTAGTCAACATGCCAGGCATTAAAACACTATATCTGCCTTTTGGAATCACTTTAATTAACCCAACATTTATGTAAAAAAAAAAAAGTAAAAACAAAAAAGGAACTTTATTGTTTAACCTAAAAAAGAGCAATAGTGTACAAAACATATTTACAACATGGAAACTGTTATGTGCATACAAAGATATGCAGTTCAACAGTAAGCTTTAGCCAAAAGGCTTTCAAAAAAAAAACTATACAGAAAAAACTGCCAATACTAAGAAGATGCAAAAACAGGTTGCAGGAAAGCTTATGGGTGGGTTTGGTCTGTAGTTGAACACATGCTAGAAAACTAGAATTCAAAGTGCTTTCCAGTCAATGGGAGACTTTCCAGAATTTTGTAGCAGCTCGTTGGCCTTTGAAAAGTGTCTACACCCAAAAAACCCCCGATGAGCAGACAGGGGAGACGGATGAACAGCCTGCAAGACGTGGTGACGTTTCTATAAACACACAGAGAGAAACCTTAGTATGAAAACACATTATAAAGCTTAAACTGAATGAGCCTGGATTAAAACAACTGACCCTGTCTATAGCAGCTCCTTTCTTCTGAGCATATGATCCCCACAGCAAGAAGACGAGGCCCTCCAGGTTTTTGCTGAGCCACTGCACCACGGCGTCAGTGAACGCCTCCCAGCCTCGGTCTTTGTGGGAGTTGGCCTGGTGCGCTCGGACAGTCAGCACAGCGTTGAGCAACAGCACTCCTGATGAGCAAGGTCAAAAAAAAAAAAAGAGGAGGAGGAGAGCAGGTTTGTTGCAGCTCTCTTATTGTGGGACTATGATTAAACATTTAACAAAATGGGGGTTTTTTGTTTTGTTTTTTTTCAAGTACCTTGTTGGGCCCATCCAGTCAGATCTCCATGTCCCGGGTGCTGGAAGCCTTTGATGTCAGAGCTCAGCTCTTTGAACATGTTCTCCAAGCTGGAAATAAAAAGGATCTGACTCAACAGCACTGATTTCAATTAACTCACAACTTTCCAACACTGGGAACAAGCAGGTATGAAAGTTATTCATTCACAGAAGAAGAAAGAAGAAATGGCATGAAGAAAGCCATTTATACATGTTGTTTCCCCATCAGAGGTAGTGAAAGGACTTCAAACCTGGGGGGAGGAGGCACCGGTCTCTTCACACTGAAGCACAATCCATGAGCTTGGTTAGGACCGTGATATGGATCCTGGCCAAGGATCACAACTTTTACCTGGAATTGTAGACACGCTTGGGTTAGGCGACTGTGACAGACCAAAGGACACCTCAGATAATACATCACACAGGAACTTTTTTATGCAGTTGTCTGCTGGGGAGATGGCAGCACAGAGAGGGTTGGCTCGGTCCTGCATAGTCCCCTAGACCCCATAGAGGAAGTGGGTGAGACGAGGACATTAGCCAAACTAATGTCGATTATGGACAACACCTCACACCCCGTGCATAAGACTGTGGAGGCCCTGAGCAGCTTCCCGAGCAGCAGACTGTTCCTTCATCCCGACAACAGTCACACTGTACAGTATACACACAGAATAAATACCGTCTAAAAATACATGTGTATCATTATCACTCCCACTGCGCTTTATGTACAACTACAAATATAATAACAGCAAAAAAAAAAAAAAAACTGTAACAAGTGAATTTCCCCACTGTTGGATAAAACAAAGTCTATGTCTACGTCTAACAACCAGTGTCACTGAAGCTCAATCTGTACATGGCATCGATTGTCAGTTTACACACTTACATCTCGGATGTCACACATCTGTGTCCAGGTAAATACATGTTCAGCAGGTGGGTAAACTGTGTGGCGTTTCCTCTCTTCACAAACAAAACTCGTCAGCTGTGGGAGAGATGTGAAGTCACTATAACTGTTCAAAACAACAGAGTGTGCAGTATCCCGTCTCCTCCTCTGCTCACTTGTTTGAAGTACGGCTTTCCAAACTCAGCCGACAGCGCCTTCCTCCAGCTCTCCCCGAACCCTGGTGGTGTTTGAACGGAAGACAGTCTCTCCAGCGCCGCTTTCTTGTTGCGGGCGATCTTGTCCAGCTGCTCCGGGGACAGAGGGGCAGGGCGTGGGCTGCTCTGCTCCGTCTCCACCCCACAGCCCTTCTGCTTTTTCTGGATAATTTTAATGTATTGAGAAACACATAGAACTGGTGAGAAGCGGACAGCCGGGGGTCTAAACGGCTTCAGAAAGTGTCGACAAAGCGGTGGAAACATAATCGCGCTGCGAGTGTCACGCTGAACACCAACAACACAGCGGTGGCTTTGAACGCAGCTTGGAGTACGCGAACGCGTCGCGGGAAACTACAAATCTCCCAGTGTCTGAAACGCTCATGACTCCACTGTAAGTTTTTAACATACATGCCAACAAGCTAATATAAAAAGTATAAGGTACATATTTAACTCTTAAAATTTAAACTGTTTTAAAAAAAAGAAATGACACTCACCGGCTCGTTTGCATCCTCCTCGGATTCAATTAACTCCGTAGAAGTCCTCTTCTTCGAAACTGGCGAAAAAAATGAGTTAATAGTCTTCTGTCCAATCATTTTGTCTAAAACACTGCGGTGGTAACCTGTTGTAAACCAAGAGAGTTCAAAAAATACCCGGAATGAGAATAAAACAGCAGTCTGCTGCTCCGAAACCCAAATCTCCCCAAGTGGGAATAACACATTTGGCGCCTAAACAGTGACGGCACAGAGATATGTTAATGAGCTGAGGGGTGTTCAAGACACACTACTGTTTGGTGTTTTATGTTGTTAAAAGTAAGCGTGCAGCACCTAGCATAAGGATAAGCGTCTATTTACATGAATAAAAAAGTGTCTGTCTGACGTTTTTTGGGATTTTTTGTTGTTGTTGTTGTTTAAGGTGTTTGTAGAACGAAACAAAACGTCCACGTAATGATGACCAGAAAGCCTCCTATTTAAATCAGTTTTGAGTCATTTTTTCATGCAAAATAACTGAGCAGATTTTCTGCTGTTCTTCTTTCCGGTAAACTAAACATGCACTCACCGGCCACTTTGTTAGGTATACCGGGTCAACTGCCCATAATGCAGGTCGGCCAGTTGCGTCACATAATAGAATTTTGTGCATTTAGAAATGCAGACATAGCGAGGAAGACCCGTTGAAGTCCAAACCCACCATAGTGGGGGGAAAGGTGAACGTGGCATGCTTTTTGGTGACAGACAGGCTGTTCTGCGTATTTCAGAAACTGCTGATTTGCTGGGATTTGACCACACACCCATCTTTAGTGTTTACAGAGGATGGTCTGAAGAAAAGAAAAATATCCAGTGAGCAGAAGCTCAGTGGATGAGAATGCTTTGTTGATGTCAGAAGACAATGACCAGACTACTTCCAGCTCTTCCAGGAAGGCTACAGGAAGTCAAATAAACACTTGCTCACAACAGCTGAAGCTTGACGCAAACGGGCTACAGCAAGCGAGGATGCAGTGTCCACCAAAATTGGATAAAGATCATTAGAACATTAGAAAAACGCTGCCTGGTCTGATAAGTCTGGATTTCTGCTGCAACATTCAGATGTTCAGAATATGGAGTAAACAGCATGAAAGCAATGATCAGTCCTGCTTTGTATCAAAGGTCCAGACTGCAGGTGGTGTAATGCTGTGGAGGATATTTTCTTGGTACACTCACAGGCACACTTACTACTAACTGAGCATTGTTTAAACCCCACAGCTTTGCTGAGCATTGATGCTGACCATGTCTGTCCCAACAGTGAATCTATCTCCTGATGCCTGGTTCAAGCAGGATAACACACCATGCCACAAAACTAAGATAATCTCAAACTGGTTTCTTGAACATGCCAATGAGTTTGCTGTACTCAAATGGTTTCCACAGTCATCAGATTTGAATCTAGTAGAGCACCTTTGGAATGTGTTGGAACAGGAGATTCATATCATGGATGTGCAGAAGACTGCAGCAACTGTGTGATGCTGTCATGTTAATATGGACCAAAATCTTTGAGGAATGCTAATGTTTCCTCTTTCCATCACTCAGGTATTAAAAATCCACCAATGGAAAAGTTTGTGATTCAGGATCGGAACAAACGTCGCTGCACCAGTGACACTCCAGCAGCAAGTCCGAGAAAAAAGATTAAACAGGAAAGAGACGAGAAAATGAAGGAGGAAGACTCTGAAGATGATGAGGATACAGCCTTTGCAGAGTTCTCCAATCCCGTTCCCTGGCAAAAAATAGAAGCAGAGGGACTAGACTGTGATTATGCACTGCTTTTCTCTAAAGAGGAGGCAGACTGCCTTTTTACACAGCTGGAGGAGGAGGTGGTGTATGCTACAGGTACATCAACCCTGTTTTCTTTAAAGTTATGAGCAGAAGTTGCAGTGCATTTTAACTGTTGCGCTTGTTCCAGGTGAAGAGTCAAAGGTCCAGGTGTATGGAAAGGTGTACAACATACCAAGAAAGCAGGCCACGTATGGAGACGCAGGCCTAACGTACACTTATTCTGGGGTGAGGCGTATAGCCTGCCCATGGACTCCAACTTTGGAATACATTCGAGACACTGTCACTAAAACGACAGGACAGACATTCAACTTTGTCTTGGTCAACAGGTGAGAAATGACTGATGCAAGCTGTAAATGTCACAGTTTTGAGATTTGGAGGTTTTACAGATCAACACGCTTTTCTCAATCAGGTACAAAGATGGGCAGGATCACATGGGCGAGCACCATGACGACGAGAAGGAGCTGGACCCCCGCTGTCCCATCGCGTCAGTCTCTCTGGGAGCAGCGCGGGACTTCTTCTTCAAACACAGAGACTCGCGAGGAAAGCAGAGCCGCCGACAAATTGAACCTGTGAAGCTGGAGCTCGCTCACGGAAGCCTGCTCCTCATGAACCCGCCGACCAACACCTTCTGGTACCACAGCCTCCCTGTCCGCAAGAAGATCCTCCTGCCTCGCATTAACCTCACATTCAGGCGCATTCTGCTGGACAGCAAGCGTGAGAGCAAGCCAAAGCCAGGTGTAAGTTAGGGACATGGCCATGTGCACAGCCACTAACAGCACAGCTCCAATTTAAGCAACTTGACACTCTGGAGGAAGACTGTCTTATTTATTTGTTTTCAGTGAATCGGCATCTAACTTTACTCAACTCATATTCATGTTTCTGTTCGAAAAGAAGGCAAAGACTTCAGATCAATAAATGTAAACAGTTAAGTTGACTTGTGAGATTGTTTGTTCTCATTGATTGGACTGCTGCTGTACTCTAGCAGCTCTGGAAAGTAAAAGGTCACTGGGTTGCATTTAAAGGAAAGGCATGTAAACAATGAAAATGTACTTCTTAGTGGATTGTGAGGTTGGTCCAAATAGAGACTGCTTTAATCAGACTTCTCTTTAATGGGCTTAATGGGTATGAGAGGGGGGTGCATGACTTCAGCATCAGTTTGTTCCCTGGATATGGAAATATTTGTTAATACAGGAGCTTTTTTTTATGTTCCAGAGTTGTCAGATTCCAAGGTTATATACACTCGCCAATTTATTAGGTTGGACCCCTTTTACCTTCAGAGTAGTCCCCACATATTTTGGTCCATGTTGACATGATAGCATCATGTAGTTGTTTTAGATCCATGATGCAAATTTTCTGTTCGCCGCCACATCCCAAAGGTGGTCTATTATATTGCTGCCACAATCATTAGATGGCAAATTTTGGTAAGACTATACCAATTGTAGCCTCAATTTTCTATTGTTAGCTGAAAGGAGTAGCACCCAATGTGGTCTCCTGCTGCTGTAGCCCATCTGCTTTGCAGTTCCAGCATTCAGAGATGCTCTTCTGCATGCCTTGGTTGTAACAAGTGGTTGAGTTACGGTTGCTTTCAGATCAGCTGGAGGCAGTCTGGACAGTCTTCTCTGACTCTGGCACTTAGAACTGCAGCTCACTGGGTATTTTCCTTTTCAGACCACACTCTGTAAACCTCAGAAATGATTGTGTGGGAAAGGTCCAAGTAGATCAGCAATTTGATTAGGGTGAACATTTGATCAGATAAAAGATTTGCTGCCTTTGGTATACCAGTAACAAGTATACTTTTTAACCTCTTGCAAATTGTGCAGTTTTCAAATTAACTGTATTTCAGTCAAAGACACTTAAATAATGGGGTGATTAACATAAGCTTATTTAACAATCTCTTAAACATACCAAAAAATGTTCTTGCTTTAATAAAACACTCTAAAGACCATTTTTAATGCTTTTAATACCTGAAAACGATCACCTTACAGACTGCACACAAATACAATCTCACATGAATATACACCAGTACAAACTGCAAAAATTAAGCAGTTTTGCACCAGATCACTGCTCATTAATTATAAACAAGAGGATGACTACAGAAATCTGCAGTCATGTTAACTAAGGGCACGTCTCTTATTAACCTGTTTAAAAACACCCACAGCATGTCAACTGGCTGTGATGTGTCACATTTCAAGGAAGGGCCCCGTTCACATTAATTGTAGCACTCATGGTTCCAAGTGTTTAAAATCGCATTTAAGACAATATGGCACTTAAACCACAAACGTGCAGTTTTATAAATCATGATAGAGTTAGGTTCACTGGAAACAGCAGAAATAATCAAAACAGAAGAAACCGTGTCAATAGAAACATTATTACTGCTCTGGGTTTACATACACTGCTGAGAAGGATTAGGCAAACTACATCTGACAAAGAGAACCAGAGTCAAGGATAATTCCACCTTTGTGACTTTTCAGAATATGCAACAGCTCCTAAATATAATCACTGACAAGTCCTAATGAGCCACTTGAAGGCAATGGAGAAAATAATAGGAACACCTTGAAGCAGCCTAGGGTGTATTCACATTTAAACACCAGAAGCCTCACCTCTAGCCAACATTTGAGCCAGCCTAAACACTGTACGCTTTCAATGTGAACCGCAGTTTGTAGGGTTATTATCGTGGCATAGACTGCACCAATAAGCCACAACAGTAAAACCACCAGTCTAATATTGTGGTGTCACCAAAATCATTTTGGCGTTTGTTTAATCTGCTTGCTTGCAGGATGAAGCCTCTCCATCAGATCAGGATTTGGGGAATTTGAAAGCTGGGAATATGGTAAGTGGACTGCATTTATTTAGAGCTTTTCTAGTCCTACTGACTACTCAAACCGCTTTACATTCAAGCCTCATTCATCCATTTACACACACACACGCTTTTTCTGTCACACGAGGAGGTGGGTTTTTTTTCCCCATTGGGGTTGGGGTAAATATGCTGCTGGAGGAGGATACTGCCACAGAGTGCCATTGCTTGGGATGCAACAGTCTTTAGGTGGGTGGAGTGGAGTGTACCAAAGTAGCATCCATATACCATGACCCATAGGTTTTCCAGCAGATCACTGCACCAGTGATGACGACCATTACTCATTTTGCTTGTCAGTGGTTTTTAATGTTGTGGCCGATGCAGCGTTTAATGTTCCTCTTTCTTTATCTGGTAGAAGTCGAGGTGTTACATAAATTATTACATGTCAAAGAAAAAGTAGCTTACCGATAAACGATAACACAAAAATCCTGCAGTTTTATTATCTTTGGGATTAAAAGGCTCCTCCTCTGGAGCAGAGCAGCAGGCAAGGTGTCCACAACACATCACACTACACCCTAGGACAACTCTAGGATGGCTTTCTTCTCTGGTGTCATGTTCACAAAGCCACCTGTTGGTAACCGTGCTGTCCCCTGCCACATCGAGTGTGACAGTATGACTGGAAAGGCAGAAGTCATTCAGGCTGTGAGCCTTTGGTTACTGCTCTGACTGCAGAGAGAGGCCAAGCCTTCGAACTCTCTCGTAAAAGAGCATGTAAGCGTTGGAAGACAGCACCTCGTGCAGGCTGGCTTTGCGTACCGAATCGTCTGACACCCACAGCCACTGGCAGCTGAAGGGCGAAGAGCTGCGAGATGAGGAGGGGCTGCGGCGGTAGGTGACGAAATGTCCTGAGTGCATGTCACCGTGGTGAACCAGCACCGCCGTGAGCTGAAAAAGGTACTCTGTAGAACTGGAAGGAACGGGACAAATACACGTGGTTTATGATCAGTCGTCGCTTACACCCTGTGTGGAACAATCTGCATGCACGATTTTTGGATGCAGTCTTTGTTTTGGTTCATTTTCACCAGTGTGTTCGTTAATAAGGTTGTGACAGACAATGAATGTCAGAAACAATGAAAGTTATTGTTTTGAATCTTTTATCAAATAGAAATGCTGGTAATGGTATCAATGTTGTTTAAATACAATATAGGGATACTGGGTTCTTCTTGTATAGTACTTAGTGTAGGTGTATGAGAGCAAAAAGAGGTCTAAGACGAAGCTGTAGATTTCCTTTGGGTAACTTGGTGTTTAAACAATGAAACTCTTCTGCTTCGTGATAGTTTAGCTTTCAGTAGAAAGGCTTGTTAAGTTTAATACACGCTATAGGGACAAAAGTGTTGGGCCACTACGCTTAATCTTTGAACTGTTTGCCATGCCATTGCCATAGATTTACAAAAATCAATCACCTAGCAATGCAGTTTGCCTTTACAAACATTTGGGAAAGAACATGTTGTTCTAAAGAGCTCATTGAACTCGAGGGTAGAGCTGTAATAGGATGCTGCTGTTGCAACAGGGGGGGTTTGTGAAACTTCTAGATATTCTGCCAAAAATGGTATTATTGCAAAGTGGATGTGTTCAAGAACCACAGCTACACAGCCACAAAGTGACAGACAACATAAAATTACAGAGCGGAGTCAGTCAGCGAAGTGCATACTGTGTAAATGTAATCCATAGTGGCAGCTCCAAACCTCCTCTGGCATTAACATCAGCACAAAAACTGTTTGCCGGGAGCTTCATGGTAGGAGTTTCCACAGCTGAGCAGCTCCTGTGGGTGTAATGTGTAGGTGGCCCAGTACTTTTCCATATGTGTTTGTGTTTTAGCTCTACTAGGGGAAAAAAAATAAATAAATAAATCTGTAGACACATTGAGATCTGCTAATTCTGCCAATGCGGAAAAAGGGATTTCAATTACCAGATCACCACTGAATACCCTGATATATTTGAGTTCCTTATTGATTACCTGTAGTCATATGCGAGGCTGAGCTGTGGGTTCACACCAGAAGTGTGAAGGAGGACCGATGAACAAGTTCCATTAGAAAAAGGTTTGTTGTTGTTATGATGCTCTGAATCTGAAACACGAAATACAATAAATGCATGAATAATAATAATAATAATAATAATAATACAGATGCAAGAACTCCAACATACCGGAGCCATTGGCAGAGGGTTTTTCTACCGAATCGTCTCTGCTTTCAGCCTTTATGGATTTTGCAGTGCATCTGAGCCGCTGACTCCTCTGTGTGGAAGTGTTGTGTTTGTAATGGTCCATTGATAGATACTCTGCAAACTGCACATGCTCCTGTCGTTTGATGGGGGTTCCTTCACTCGACCACGTCAATCTTTGCAAATGGATGCAAAGGCACTGGGGGAGCTAACAAAGACTGCCAATCATTTACCCTTCAACCTCAAGCTGGATAAGTACTAGCTTTTGCCATGTACAGAGTTCCTAAAAGGAAAATAAATATTTGGGTTATTAATGCTTAACCAAAAGAGACTACTTACCTTCCCCAGTTTTAGCTGTTTAACAAATGTCGTCCTTTGGCTTTCTACAACTGGTCCATTTATTGTGGTTGCTTGTTGAAGCTGAGGAAAAATGATCAAAAACTTAAAATTTATACATAAAACCAGCAAATAATACACCTGTGAAAGAAACAACTGGACCTTTTGTTCCTCTTCAGGCGACCTCCCCACTTCAAATCTTTCACTGAGTAAATCATTTAACGAGAGGATTGCCACAGTTTAGCTTGGCACTGATGTGGAAGTCAGTGTACCTTGGTGCAGTTTTCACACTCCACTTCTTTGATGGTTTCCGAAGAGATAAAGTGCTGAAGACACTGATCTAGAGAGATCGGCCGCCCCTGAGAACAAGCACAAGTCATATTATAACAAACAGAACAACCATGAAATATACTGTTGTGTACACAGCACAAGATACATTTTCACTTACCCACTGAGGTAAAGGAATGGACAGGGAAAGACTATCAAACGAGTCGTACCGCACTGGACTCTAAAAATGCAAAGCAGAGGTATAAAATCACATCCTGAAAGAAGACGAACAGTAATTTTCCTTTTTTTTCCTCAAAAAGGAAAAACAAACAAACAAAAAACTCACCTGTAGCTCGCAGCGCTTGCAGAACATGTTGCTTGTTAACCGACCATGAAACGGATGCTGAAACTTCCACGGACTTGGTATTGGATGAAGGGGAGCTGCCAAATGAAAATTTCACTCAAATAAAATACAACTTTGTTTTGGTTTTATCATCTAGGTTCTATGATTTCTACTCCTTCTCACCTCGGCTTCTGCATGTCATAGTTTTCTCATCTTGATCTGGGAGACTCTGGTATAAAATAAGCACACACACAAAGAATAACTAGACACATATTTCTGATACTTCAACAGCACAGAGACTGACTGAGATTTTTAGAGTGTAGGAGGCAATCTTTGGATTATTGTTGCCTACAAACTCCAGATTACAATTGTGCTTCATTGTTCTAGAAGACTCTACAGAGTGTATTGGAATGGATGCAACATGCAAGAGAAATAGCGAGGAAAATGAATTACCTCAAGGGAGTGCATATCAAACAGATTTGTGACTTTGGGCTGACGATCTCGCTCCTCTTCCAGAGAAGATGTAAGGACATGAAACAGCTCATGTGCATCCTAAGAAGGGATGAACCAACATACACACAACGGTTATGAGGTGGACGAGCAAATTGTATACAAATCTAAAGCTGATGGATCGATCCACTGCTCCTCCAGTCTGCATGTGGACATATCCTAGAAGAAGATAATGAACGCTGAGTTGCCCCCAATTTATCCCTCAGAGTGACAGTGTATGTGAATGTTTTTAAAAAAAAAAAAAAAAAAGCCTGGAGGCAGATTAAGTTGCTGAATGTGTGTGAGATTGGGTCAATGAGGAAAAGTACTAGTGCACTGCACTATTCATTTGAAATAAAAACAACAATATCAGCAATAATACTGACTGACCTGCTCTTCAAATGAGCTGATGTGCCATCTGTACAGTCTGAGGACATCCAGGAGACATCCAGCATCAAGAACATCATCCTCACCTGGCTCATCACTGGATAGCGCTGTCAGTGCAGAAACAACCTCCATGTGAAAATTTCAGAGGAACTCTGCATGTCCAGTACACTGTGCTTATATGACACACTGGTTTTATGTACCTTTGAGAAGCTGGAGCAGTGTCGTGGATAGCTGGTTGTCTTTGCAGGACTGGATTGAAGGCAGAGCTGCAAACTTCTCCAGCCACCTGATGAACGACGGACATGCTGCTAAGCCCTGAAGTAACGAGTTCAGAAAGCAGGTGTTCCCCAAGTTTAAAAGACCTGGTGCCATACCTGCAGGGAACCACGAGTCACTGTAGTTTGCTGCAATGTAAACAGTGCCATAAATATAATGTGTGCGCCACACGGTCACATCAGCTCTTACCTCTCTTTCTTTTCTTTCGCTCTGTGATTGGACCCCACAAAACGTATACTCCAGCTGCAATCGCAGCAGCTATCCCACCAATGACACCCCAGTTCTTTATCATCTTGTTTCTAAAAACAACAACAACAACAACAACAACATCATATTCCTATCAACAAAACACAGCAAGGGATCAGACATGGGGGGAGGAGTCATAAAAATAGGACAGAAAGGATAGGCATGAGAGTAACATTTAAATATATATAGACTGATAGTTGTATTGATGATGGGTGTGTATGTGTTTTGTTGTTTTTTGGCCACCATATCTTGCATCACTAAATTTTTGGCACCCAATAAAAGCGATCAGCTCGGATTTGAAACAAAATATGATAAAAGGTTCAAGCCAAAAATGAATATTAGGTCTCTAATATACCACCAAACACTTTACAGACTACAGCTGTGAAATATAATTAAACATCAGCTCTGTCATAAAGTTTATTCTTACAAACTGTTTTTTATTAAACTTTTATTCATTAATCCCACTTTTTCTTACATGTCACACTGGTATAAGTCGTCCTAGCATTAGAGTATATGAATATATTTATAATTTGTAAAATGTTCTCCCCTCAGACAGCACAGACAAAACAACGGTCACAACAATTCCACTCTATGATCTACTAACCCGACATCCAATTAGTTAATCTAGAGTAAACGAGGACACGACGAGACTCGATCACATCAAACAAAACCTCCATCGACATCTGCTCTGATAAAGCTTCCGTTGAACTGCCTGAACTGATGTTTGCGGCTTCAATACAAACATTATGTGGGTTAAAAAAAATTAAAAGTCCCTGGCGTTACTAATTACCTCATCTTTATCAGTAAGTAAACACGACCCAGTTCACATAAGAGGACATACAGGCTAGGTTTAGCTGTAGTGGCTAACTTACCGAGAGCTCCGAGGTAAGGCTACCCTCTGGCCCCTACGTATCCTCCATCAATAAGCACCCACGCTTCTATGTTCAAATACAGTCTATACCCCATTAATATCAGTGCATATCTCCTGTAGCAGGCTTACTAACTGTGGCATTAAACCAGACAGCGAGTCTGCGCATGTTTCATTTTGGGTCCAACCAAAGCCTACGGCGGCGGCGGCGGCATCGCGACCGCGCTTCTTCCTTCCGCGTGCACCTGCAATTAAGCTGTTTTGTGCCAGGTGGTGAGGATTTACCTGATTACGGGTCCAGTGCCAAGAAACTCCCGAACAAGCTTATCAGAGCTTTTTGCTCTGCACCACAACATCCTGCTCCTTCTGCGGAACTCTCAATGGTTGATGGTGTGTTTCAGGACGGACCCAAAGAAGAGTGGCACGCCTGTAACGTCATTACCTGCGGTCGTAAGAAAAAAGTAGGGCTTGAAGCACTGATGCGTTGGTTTTGATTTGATTCTGAATTAGTTTTTCAGTTGTTATGCTTTCATCAGACTCTTTAAGAAAACCGAATAAAACCACAAAATTCTTTACATTTCACAAATCTTTTAAAATCACACTTCAAGCTGAAACTCAAAACCGTTTTTTTCAAGTTCCCCAAAACATTTTGAAGAACAAAACGAGAGGTTTCACACTTGGAAAAGAAATTAACCCATCAAAACACCGTGCAAGCCTTCCAAATTTCCATAGGTCTTATTTCAATTATTTTCTCCTTTCTCTTTTTTCACGTTTTTACAACATTGTGATGGCCGTAAGCACCTACGAGATCAGATGTTTTTTTTTGTTTTTGTTTTTGTTTTGTTTTTTTTGTTTTTTTTTTCAGAAGAAAGACAATAAAATCTGGCCTGTAAACTCTCTAAGTGGCTTTTACGGGAATTTCAGGAACTTGTGCCCTGCCTCACACTGCCCCTCACTTGTTTTACACATGACACAAGAAGAAAGTAAAGGATTGGCTTACCCTCTGGTAGGGCCAGAGCCATTAGGTAAGTGATCTTTTCCATTGTCTTATTTTCATTTCAAGTGGACGGATAAACACGTATCTGCGCTTTGTTATTTTGTTTTATTTCTTTGTTTAATTTTGTTTTTTAATCTAAATTTCAGCTTCTATTTTTTCATATATATATATAGTTGCACCTGCAAAAGAGGGGACATGTGTAAAACGAAGTCCTTCACAGTTTTCAAACTCTATGGCTTTGATTGTATTGCAACTCTAGGAGCTAGTCTCTTCAGAAGTGTAGCCTTTTCTACTGATGATTGGAGCACAGGTGCAACACTCCACCTTTCCTGCTATAAACACACAGCTTCTGCATCAAACGTCCCTTTTTGCTGCTACTAAGCTTCATATTGTATGATATATATAAATTGAAAATCTCATACCTTGTACAGTGTATAGGTTTTCTGTATAACACTATTGTTATAAGTTATACCGCATCTATTTGTTCTGCACTGTCCACTTTGCTGCCGTAACGTGACTTTTCCGTGAGTGTATGTGAAATGCCAAAGAAACTTCCATTTATTTCAAAGAAAGCACACGAGTGCAGTTACCAAGCAAGAGTGTAGATTAAAGAAAAGGATGTTTGTTGGACTCTTTTAAACAGAAAACTGGTATAGCGCTCAAAATGAAGACAAAAAAGTACTTGGAAACACTAGTGCCCTTTTTAAAGACCCCCAGTTTTGACACGAAAGCTATGTGACTCTAAAAGCGTAAAAGGGAAAGCTTCTACCAGGTTTCCGTCTCACATTTCATCTATCTACACCTGGAATATGATACCTTAAGAGAGAAAAAAATCTTCACCTTACTAATTTTTAAACCCTGGTTACGTCACTGGTTGTAACTTATTTCCTAACCCCTATTATTATTATTATTATTATTATTATTATTATTATTATTATTATTATTATTTAAATATATAGCAAACTTGCATCGAGTTGTACTAATAGTTTCAACCCCACTCGTACACTCGCTTCTGGGTGTTCTTTCAATAACTTTCACGTTACAGCTTTAAAAATTCCGATTCATCTGTGTTGTGCGTTTCCCGGTCTGGTTTCCAGCGTCAGTGTTGATAACTCGTCATGTGTTGGCTCGTGTAATCAGCAGTCATGCGGTCTCATACCCTCCTGAGCTCATGCCTTTCCGAGAGTCTCGCGCTGTGACTCGCGCAGGGCAGCCTCTCATTGGCTGTCGACGGACACCCGGAGCAGATCGCTCTCCTCGGTGCTGAAATCGCAGCCCGTCGTGACCATGTAAACGGCGATGATGCCAAACGGACCGTCGGCCAATGAACACCAAAATGGACGATGATCTGTTCCAGCTGAGACAGCTGCCGTGAGTACGGTGCAGTCTGCACACCAACGCCTTTTTATGTGTGTTTTCTCCTCCCGGCTTTGCGTGATTGTCCGACGCATCGCCCTCTGACGGCTTCGCGTCGCCTTTGATTAGCTCCGTGGACCACAGATAGCCTGAAGCTGCTCAAAAGCACCGATCGTGCAGTTTTATTATCCACACATGTGTTCCCAGATAGAAGAGAAACAAAGAACAATAACACCGCGTCTTCTGTCTCCGCTACTGGAGGCATTTTGTTTACAGGCGTAGCATCTTCCCAAGAAACTATTTATTTACCGGAAGCAGATTGGCTGTGATTTCTAAGCTTAATAAGTTTTTT